TTTTTTGGTAAATCAGTTTTATCAACTTAAAAAAACCCTTCCCACGGTTACCGTATGAAAAAAACCTATGGCTTGTTGTATCCAAGACCACTACCAAGGAAACTCCTGCCGGATTCCGCTTCACTACAAGACCAGCCGCAAAAATTGGTGCTGCTATGGTCCTTGGAACAGGTTAAACCAATTCTGGTGGTAGCCTGTACTAGAAGACCTGCGGTAAGTCTAGGACCGAACCTAAAGCCCTTTTCGTCTTTCTGGGACGGTATGACTGCGACCGTAGTCACTGGCTCAACACGAAATGCACTTGTGAACGCCTGTCGTGACTGTCGAAGTGCACTTTCGGAAGTGCTCGCTGTTTCCAGCCTCTGTAACAGCCAATCACAAACCGAATCACACAGGCCCTCATATGAAGACTGTCGAGCGGACCGCACTTCGGACGCCGTCCGCTGGCTTGCGGTGGTGCGGGCATCTGATAGTTATTTTCCTATTGCCTCTTCTCCACTTCATTCTGCAAAGAAAATATTTTCCCTACTACTCTGGCCTTCCCAAGACTTCTCCCATCTCTTAAAGAACCTGACCTGGAAGATCGCAGCCGTTAGGGCTAACCTTAATACCCCTCGATACGACTTCTGTCAGACCGTTGTCCTTAGTCATTATGCATTTTTGCCTGCGGCCACAGAAACCGGAATCAGAAATGATCTCAGAATTAATCTTCGTAAACATGCATCTCTCTGCTATTTCTAGAGAGGCCTGAAGGAGGTTTTTGACGAAGCAATACTGTCGGCTCTCCAGTCCAACAGCAACAAAAAACCGAAAACCCGTTGTGATATCCTCTGAGGAGCTTTGCGCCCAATTCGAATGTCCCCCATACCTTTAAAGCGTGTACTGACCACAACCCCTTTTTATGTTGTGTAATTTATAGCCGACACAAGACGCCCACTCCTCTAGGGGACACGTTCAAGATACGCGTGTCCTTGGTGATGGGATTCCACTTTACCCTTTTAACTTTTGTCAACCTTGCAGTCTATGTCTTCCCAGTGTCCACAAACCGACCTTTCCAATTCGCCCCACTGTGAACCTGTTCTATACCTAAGGCTTTTTTTCTGTTACAAAAAGACTTCTCTACTCGTTATGCGTGTGGATACGCTTTCTTAAATCACGATATGTACTTTAACCAGACTCCGCCCCCATCCCTCTTCTGATCCATTCATCATACGGCACTAAAAAGGCGGACGGTTTGCGTAAATGAATTCAAAAATCATGAGCGGGACACTGGCCTACATATACTATAATCGACCGTTGACTTTGTCCCTTCGAATCGCCGAATGCTTTTTGAGCGGTCTCCATCGCAAACAAAGCAAGGGGGGTTCTCATTGATTTTACGTTTTCTAGATACATTCACTATCTTGAAAGACGCTAGGACGTAGTCTGCCGTCTGAAATAGCTGTTTTAGAGACCGGGCCCGCTTAGATTTCAGTCGACATTCACCAGGTGTGTCACTGACAATTTTAAGAAGTCAAATGGGCTTAACAGCCCTTAACACACTACTTGGCTAACTATGGACTACAAGAATAAGCATGACTATGATACCTTTCGCTGGCCGACATCGATGCCCCATAGAACGTCAAATGGTCAGGAATACTGTTAGCCACCGCACAAGTGTTATCTGAAGACTGAACCGATGCTTTTCAGGCATAAACACTGGTTGCCGATGCAACGAATAAACCGGGGACCACTCTTGCTCTCTGTTGAGGCGGATGAAACTAGGGTGTTAACATGTGAAAATTTCTGCAATAACCCATGAACCGAGCTGGAAAGAAATGTCAAAAGACAAGCATTTAATGGCAATAAACGAATGCAAAAGATGGGAATAAAGTTCGACCAACAGAGTAGTTGCACAGTATAACAAGCAAAGCACATTAACAATACACAAGTTAGTCAGGGCGCATGGGTAGTTAAATTACTGGCGATAGTAGGCTGACCGAATGGGCGAACGTTCGCGTTCGTCCGGCCGTCGTGA